ATATATTGTTTTTAGTTCAACAACTCTTTAGAGGTGTTCACGGCGCTCCTTCGCCCAGCAGCTCCGCTCGTACCCGAAGATCCGCCATGTAAAGTGTAGTGAAATGTATCTCAATACCAATCGTAATCATACCCAACAGAAGCCTCCGCGGAGGAGAGAGGTGGATGGCGGATAATGATTTCTTGTGTCCAAATTAGATAACATTTGCAAGAGATGAAAATTCCCGATTCTCATTGTTTGATTTTAAAACATGTATCTTCAAATTTTACGCGATGACTGTTTTTACAGGGGAAAATAAATTTGCCACCGGAACCATACATTTTTTATTTCATTCTCAAAATACTTCAAAATACAACTTACATGCATCTACGGCCCCATCAGAGAATTCAACTCTGGACACCTGGTTTACAAGACCAGTTTACTAACCACTGAGCTAATGAGGCATCTGCCCACAATTGACTTTCTTAGCGTTTGTATTTTGTTAGCCAAATTATCTTGAACTAAAAAGAGTGTTACGGTGAAAAATTGGAAAACAACCAAGCCAATATGAAATATGATCGTGGAAAATATGCAGGAAATGGCTTTGAGGTTCATTATAGGTCATAATATCTGTAGTAATTGCCTTCCCGGTATACGTTACTCATACATCTTCGTTTATTATTTAGGTGCTAAATGATTGATTCCCACTTTAAGCCAGAACTTCATTGTACTTATATTTCGAAAGAACCTGCTTAATTTTTAATTAATTCCCTTAATTTCATCAACAAGCTTTTAATGAATTTTGAACAGTACTCCACAAAAATAGCTTAAATTCGTTGGTATTTTTGGAATTTCTTGATATTCTGCACTAACCTTATTCGTGCACGAAATATGGCATGACAAGCGTCACTTCAAACTTTTTCACATTCGCACTTTTCATTCATACAGTAAAACTTTCAAATTATATTAGTTTTAGTAACAGATAGTTCGTTGCTATGACGACATACGAGTACGAAATTCACTCCAAAATGGCCTATCGTCTCGTATAGTTGGAAAAAAAGCATGGTGACCCCCAATTTTTTTTCTTGCATTATTTTACTTGGACAAAAAGCTAACAATTAGCAAAATATAAAAAAATTCTGTAATGCCATTTTGTTGGAAAATGCGAAAATGTCATATTCTTCGGTAAAATTTTTTTGGCATTACAGAATTTTTTTATTTTTTGTATAATGAAAGTTTTTAGCGGTGCAATACAGCATGCAAAATTTGAACATAGGTCACCAGAAAAAATAAAGAGATATAGCGCATTGTTTTTCTACAATGGAAAATTCTAATGACGTCAGCAATTGACATAAAACGCTATAGAACACGGGCAATGGCGTGATATGGCGCCAGCAACTGCTCACATCAGGTCATTTTGGAAGTTTTTTTCATTTTGTTAATCAATTTCCGCGACCTGCGCGTAAAAACGGTTACCCGGTTTTGAGTTCGCGATTCTTGAGCAGGGTTTTTGTGATAACTATATCGAGCCACCTTAACAGGGGCGGCGGAACGGATTTCAGTTTGGGGGGGGCTAAATATACAAGATATATACAAGAAAAGGGACATATACAAGAAAAGGGACATATACAAGAAAAGGGACATATACAAGAAAAGGGATGAAAAAAATTTTTCCGGACCTATAACAAAAAATATTTCCGGACATATTCGATTTTTACACAAAATATCCCAAATTTTTCCCCTTATACCTAAATTTTCCAAAAATAACCTACATTTTTCCTTAATTATCAAAATTTTTCCAGAGAAAACAAAATTTTCTGGGTAGGGGCTTAGCCCCCCCCACTTTTAGTTCTGGGGGGCTTTAGCCCCCCTAGCCCCCCCCCCCCTGTTCCGCCGCCACTGCCTCTTAAAGAATATTTAAAAGACTAAGTTTATTTCGACAAATATTGGTAGCTAATATTGTAAAATTGTAATGAAATTATAGTTAACTAAAAATAACATTTTTTGCTTTTAGGCATTTTCCTAATACTACAGTATAACTGTATATTATTGAATTCTTATAGATTATATTAAACCCGCCAACATCACTGTTTCTCATTTTTCAAGGCTTAAAAGTACACGTCGCTCAAGTCTAACCAGTACCTTTTACGTTTTTCCGAGCTTTGATATTCATGTTATTCAAATTAATATAATCTTTAACAATTATTCGCCGAAGGCAAGGCGATTATCGGGAATATTCGCCGAGACGACGTCGAGGGGAGTATTCCCCGATAATCACCGAGTAATAAGGTAACAAGGTAATAAGCATGCAAGGGAATAAGCACACATAAGCAGGCAATAAGGTAATAGGGTAATAAGGTAATAAGCATGCAGGGGAATAAGCACACACATAGCAAAGCAATAAGGTAGCAAGGTAATAAGGTAATAAGCATGCAGGGGGAGTAAGCACACATGAGCAAGCAATAAGGTAACAGGGTAATAAGGTAATAATTATATGCAGGGGAATAAGCACACATAAGCAAGAAATAAGGTAACAAGGTAATAAGGTAATAAGCATGCAGGGGAATAAGCACACACATAGCAAAGCAATAAGGTAGCAAGGTAATAAGGTAATAAGCATGCAGGGGGAGTAAGCACACATGAGCAAGCAATAAGGTAACAGGGTAATAAGGTAATAATTATATGCAGGGGAATAAGCACACATAAGCAAGAAATAAGGTAACAAGGTAATAAGGTAATAAGCATGCAGGGGGAATAAGCACACATAGCAAAGCAATAAAGTAGCATGGTAATAAGGTAATAAGCATGCAGGGGGAGTAAGCACACATAAGCAAGCAATAACAGGGTAATAAGGTAATAAGTATGCAGGGGAATAAGCACACATAAGCAAGAAATAAGGTAACAGGGTATAAGGTAATAAGTATGCAGGGGAATAAGCACACATAAGCAATCAATAAGGTAACAAGGTAATAAGCATGCAGGGGGAATAAGCACACATGAGCAAGCAATAAGGCAACAGGGTAATAAGGTAATAAGCATGCAGGGGAATAAGCACACATAGCAAAGCAATAAGGTAACATGCAGGGTAATAAGGTAATAAGCATGCAGGGGGAATAAGCACACATAGCAAAGCAATAAGGTAACAGGGTAATAAGGTAATAAGCATGCAGGGGGAATAAGCACACATAGCAAAGCAATAAGGTAGCAAGGTTAAGGTAATAAGCATGCAGGGGGAGTAAGCATACATAAGCAAGCAATAAGGTAGCAGGGTAATAAGGTAATAAGTATGCAGGGGAATAAGCACACGTAAGCAAGAAATAAGGTAACAGGGTAATAAGGTAATAAGTATGCAGGGGAATAAGCACACGTAAGCAAGAAATAAGGTAACAGGGTAATAAGGTAATAAATATGCAGGGGAATAAGCACACGTAAGCAAGAAATAAGGTAACAGGGTAATAAGGTAATAAGTATGCAGGGGAATAAGCACACATAAGCAAGCAATAAGGTAATAGGGTAATAAGGTAATAAGCATGCAGGAGTGTAAGCACACATAAGCAAGCAATATAAGGTAATAGGGTAATAAGGTAATAGCATGCAGGGGAATAAGCATACATAAGCAAGCAATAAGGTAACAGGGTAATAAGGTAATAAGCATGCAGTGGGAATAAGCACACATACCAAAGCAATAAGGTAACAGGGTAATAAGGTAATAAGCATGCAGGGGAATAAGCACACATAAGCAAAGCAATAAGGTAACAAGGTAATAAGGTAATAAGCATGCAGGGGAATAAGCACACATAAGCAAAGCAATAAGGTAACAAGGTAATAAGGTAATAAGCATGCAGGGGGAATAAGCACACATAGCAAAGCAATAAGGTAACAAGGTAATAAGGTAATAAGCATGCAGGGGAATAAGCACACATAAAGCAATAAGGTAATTTGTTATATAACAAGTGTCAAAGTTCAAAACCGTATCACGTGCCGGTGTCCCAGAAATTTCGCCCCTCTTCCCCTCCCCTACAATGGGGCGAAATCCCTAGGAAAATTGGCCCCCTTCGGAAACTTTACCTTTCCTTTGGGATTTTTTCCTCCTTTAAAAATTTCGCCCTACCTAACAGTTGCATGGGATAATTATTACATTGCTTTAGTGGTTTGAAATCAGTATCAATTTAAAATTGTTAAGTCAAGAATACAAATTTACAATTACATGTATCGAAAGGTCTTACAGTAGATCAACAGGACTTATGACGCTTCACAGCACACCATGCATTATTTTACATACATTAAACTCATCAGTTGTTAAAAAGTAATCACTGTGGTGGTTTTGTAATTATTGGTATGCATAAACTGTACGTTTTTTTTATAATCAAACCGTTTAATTTCATTTTAAAGAGCACTAAAAATCTACTTCTCTCTACCGATGCAGTATTCACAAGTTATTCATTGACATTGATTGAAAATAATTGAATTGGTTAGGTAATTCTTATAAGTTATACTGATAGATCGTGCGTATGTTATTTAGTACTACTATATCACCACATCAGCTATGGCTAAGCTATAAATTTACTACCGTGTTACGGAAAAATACGTTTAGTTTCATTGTTATTGTTAACAGTAGTCATGCAGTAACATGTTTACGTGGAAGAACCATATAAACTCAGTTTTGAAAAATATAATTAAAGCAGTATATGGTAAAACGCGCAAATATTTCAAACGTTCGACAACATCTTTGCATGGCACATGTTGACAGCAAGTCTGCGAAGGAGGCAAAGTCAAACTCGTCGTCGACGAAATGGACGGCAAAATCTTCTAGAGTGCAAAGGCTTTTTGCAACTCCAAACGGGCAAAAATCGAAGAATAGCTCCATGCATCATTACTGAGTGGTTCTTTACAAAATTCAAGGAACCGGATCATGTTCCTGTGGCCTTTTTCACTGTTCAACAGTGCGGCTTATTTCCTGACGAAACGGAATTTCGAATCAATGAACTCGACATTATTATTCTTTTTGGTAACCACATTTTCTGGTTTTCCTTTGTATTTTCCTGGGTATACGGACCCAAACGTATCGCAACCCAACTTCTTTTCTTTTTCGAAAGGTTTCCACACAAACTTTTGCAACTCTGGATCCTAATAACAAAGTAAAATCTTCAGTGTATGTACAGGTACTATTTAGTATTTACAAAAAAGCTTACATGCATCTACTAGACTAATTTTAATACTAAATACTATATATAAAAACACACTGATTTCCAAGATTGCCGTGTGAGATCTAGAATCCCATTATGGTGGCGACAAAAATCGATTGATTTCATTTTTGAAATGCCTTAATCGCTTTCTTTTAGATCTCCCAAAGTGTTTCAGAAACTAGAGCTGAGAACATCAGTTAAATGGAGCCAGGGGATGTTTCCAAAAACGTCTTCGAAATCGTTTTCGCATTTTGAATATAACTTGGGCATCTTGCTTC